GACTATCCACAATGGATTGACATATATTCAGGCAGTAGAAAGGGTGATCTGACCCTTTGCTGTCTCTTAAAGACTGTTGGTAGGATGTCTTCAGTAGAACCCTAGGGGATTAACCTAGATTTGCTAACTTTGAAGACATGTCACATGGCCACTCTCTGGGCATTTTTAGAAAGGTAAGGAGACTGAGGTATAGGCCAGGGTACATCGGTGGGATGACTGGCTTCTTGGCAGTGTGTATGAACTAACTGTAATGCATTGTATTTTTGTAACCTGAGATAACTGGCAGGGCACCCAGAGTCTGTGTGGGTGCTTTTGATTTAACCTCAAACTAATTATTAAAAATAAAATAAAAGAATGAAATAAGAATATTTTTAGAGCACACTACACAATGATAGTTAAGACTATTCCTTAAATATCTCACTGCCAGATGCTGCCAGTGCTACTTTTGGTGTTTGTCCTATGTGACCTTCAGCCCCAAACTCCTGCCTATAGTTATATTTGTTGTTCAAGTGGGAAAAAGTGCTCTGCTGCGGTTTGGTTTGGTTTGGTTTGGTTTGGTTTGGTTTTTGCGGGAAGCAAATAATAGGGAGCTTCCCCACCGAGCCATTTCAGGGCTTTTCACGTTTTACTTTAGACAGCAGTACAGGAGCCAAGAGAGACAACTTGAGTCATCCAGTCCCACCTCTTGCATTCTGCCAGATCTCTTGCTGCATTATCTCTGCTAACATCTTTTCTCACCTGTTTGCAGATCTCAGCAGTGACAGGGCCTCACCCCCCTGGCCCTCCACTCTGGTTGCTCTTGCTGTGAAGACACATTCCCTTTCCCATCCCTAGCTTAAACTGTACTTTCTCTAGCCTCAGGGCTGTCCCTCCTTGTCCTACCATTGTGTAAGCGTGTGAATAATTCTCTTCATCCATTTATACTGTCACTTTGACATTATTTATAGGCTGTGATCATTCCTGTTGAGTCTTCTGTTTTCCAGGTAGGACAAATTTTACTTCCTCAGTCTGTTCTCATATGTCTTCTCCTCTGAGCTTTGCCAATATTTTGGCTGTCCATCTTTATTTTTAAATCTATATATATCCTTTCTAAATCAGGGGCCCCAGAACTGCAAACAGAACACAAGCACGTCAGCAAAAGTGCTATGTAAAGGAATCCAATTTCCACCTTTGATTTACATGTGGTCCTTATGACATAGATTAAGAATAATCTTAGCTTGGTGTCTTTGGGAGTGTTATTGTACTGCCAGCTCTTATTTTATTTTGGTCTGTACTGTCACTGAAGACTTTTTCAAACTTTAGAAAAATCACTGGATCTGACATAGTCACTTCAAAATTGAGCATGCTGATCTGTTTTAAGGGCTAGGACCTGTTCAGGTTCCCAAGCAACAGAGAAGAAGCAAAGGAAAAAGACGAGACAGGTCACTGGTACTCACTTCCCTCACCCTGTACCAGTCAACAAAACATAGGTGACTGGATTCAGATGCCAGCATATAATACCTGCTTGTTCCCCTCCATTTCTGCACCATTCTCAGCACACAACTGAGCCATCAAACAGATTCTGCTGAGAATTTGTGACAAGCAACCATATTGCTGTTGGGCTCAGACCTCATTTGCCAGTTTTTAGCTCAGAGCAGTGGTTCTGTTTCAAGTGGTTAGACCCTGATGCTTTTTTCTCAGGGATTTCTATGACTGGACCCTAAGGTGCTACAGAGACAAGATGTCAAAGAAGTTGGGTAAGTAAGGAGTTCTGACAACTACTGTTCCTCAGGGGCCCACCACCCTTTCACCTTGGACATAAGTCAACAGACTGAGAGGAAGCAATGAGAGAGAGAAATAAGCCAAAACACATTGTTACTGTGCAATGTTACATTTCTACAGCACATTTTATCCCAGAGGCATTTCAAAATGAATGATATATGGACAGAAGTCCCTATCACCAAATTGCTGCCACCTCTGGGGTAGTACATTGAGTACATAATAGTACTATGTGATGGTTTGGGGCAGAATAATGTATCCAATTTAAATTGCAGGAGGTATTTTAGAGATACAGGGCGTGTCTACACGTGCCCCCTATGGCGCTGCTGTTACTGCACCATCATTTAGTACTTCCTTTTGGAAGTACTAAATGATGGCACAGTAATAGCCCATACTGCATGTTGCCAGTGGCGCACGGGTATTTTTAGCTGCTATGTTGCCATAGCAACACGCTATACTGAGGGAGCGCATTGCTACACTGACATAACGGCAGCGTCACGGTTTTTGCCCACGGACGCTACATCGCCATAGCGCGTTGCTATGGCAATGTAGTGTCATGTGTAGATATGCCCACACGGTCATGAACCCACCCCAAAAGC